GAATGTGTATATCCTTCCATTTGTGAGTAGCTGGTGGCAACACAATCAGTGGAAGGAGTTGACATGACAACAGGAGAAAGATCTTGTATTGTTAGGAATACCTTGTGCTTTTTTTAGTTTCAGTTTTTAGGCGATTGTATTGCAAAGTATGGCAATATTACATCCATACACAAAGGGCAAGTATTGAACGTTTATTATATAAATTATATTGCTGATACAAGTTCAAACTTAACATCAGATAAATGAGTGGGGGCATAGACCGCACCAGCATAGTATTTCTCTACTGTTACAGATCTTTAATGTGTGAACACATGGCTTCCCTCCCAGTGAGTAACAGTGGGTTACATTAACGCTCCCTGTGCTGGGTGTCCTCTTTGTAAGCAGGAAATCCCACACCTATGCTCTGCAGGGGGTATGCACAACAGGTAGACCTGGCAGAATGCACACAGACCCCCACTCACTAACTTCAGTGTTAACTTTCATCTTACACAATATCTTTCTTTTTTAAAGATTACAAGTCAATTGCCGTGACAGGAAGAAAAAATCTAATCTAAAATGATATGGAAAAACAAGAGAATGTTGACTAACAAGTTTAATTTGCAGTTTTGCATTTATAAGAATATAACTTCTCACACTACTTTTACATATGGAAGATGTTTTGAAATCGCAATAATGTATGGCGACAAGTATCTGTTATTATGTCCTCCCCTAATGATGACGGCAAAATACAATAACATTATTGCTAATGGTCTTCTAGGCAGGCAGACATGTTATTGTAAAAACATCCAGTGTTGATTCGAGTGCATTAGCTGTTGAAAGGTCACAAGCCTGGACCTGTATGTAGTCATAGAGATTCACTAAAGGTTACTGTCAACAGCAGATCATGTAGCATGGGCTGCTACCAGCTCCACTGTTTGATCTGTAAATAAAGGTTGCCTTACGTTTGTATTTGTTGCAAGTAACTGGGCAAAACAAGCTCTTTTTGAGAAAATGTAAACCCCCGACACATTGCCTTACCATGTACTCCCTGCTGTTCTGTCAGACTCTGTTTACATCGAGGACATGGAGGCTGTGCAGAAGCTGCGGGACCTCCTCCACCAGGCCCTGCTGGAGATGGAGTGTCAGCGGCGCCCGGACGATGCCCAGCGGGCCGGACGCCTCCTTTTAACATTGCCCCTCCTCCGACAGACTGCCGGTCGCGCCCTTACCACTTTCTACAGCATCAAGACCCGTGGTGGTGTACCCATGCACAAACTATTCCTGGAGATGCTGGAAGCCATGATGGACTCTCCCTAGAGTGGCAAGCAGCAGTGAATAGGATGCAGAGAAAGACCCAACAGAGATCTAGCCCTGAACAGTGGACGAGTGGTTTGTGAGGAAGATTTTATTAGAGAATTTATAATGAGGGAAATGGTCCTTTCTTTCCCTTTTCCCATAGACTACATGAAGAAAGGAAACAAATGAGAAAATAAAAAAGCTCATGTCCCTAAATGGGAATAAAGAATGAGATGTAACTGCCACACTTTGTTAAAAGGCTCCGACATCAAAGTGAGAAAACATTTAATGTGAATGCCTCAATACGAAAAACTATTTTCATGCTATGTTCCATCACAGCATCGATCTGCATTTGCATAACCACTGAGGAACAACAGAAAGGTACCCGAGAACAGACTGCAAACATGTTGCTTTTGAACTCTTTAAAAATAAAGCAACGTGTCACATGCAACGAAAGCCATAACAACATATCCGGCGAAAGACTTTGAGGGTCCAGTAAAGGGGCAGATTGACATGCACATGGAGTGCTTGTATTTAATATAGTTTAGTGTGCCGTTGTAGGCAAATTCATAGGAATTACTTGCAATATGTTTAAAGCAATATAATGACTCGATTGTTGTTTTGTCACATTTAAAATGTGGATAAAAGGGTAGTTGTGTGAGTATACCAGTAGTCCTCCACTTTCCAGACCCCAAGTGCTAATTTTTTTTAAAGAAACAAAAAGCACGTTGGGGGTTAAAAGCTGGATTTGGGAACCACTGATGTACAGAATAGGTGCAGCTTTCTTTATAAAAGGTTGTGCAATTGTTTTGAAGTGGACGAGAAGTGCATATGAAGGTTGTGCGCTCACAGAAAGATTTACGTGGAAGGTTATATATTCGGTGTTGTTTGTAAATCCTATCGGTACACAAAAAAAACTGGCTTCGATACAAGCAAGCGTGTGCGTTAGTGTGCAGTCTAAACCAATGAGCTGAGATCAGGGAAGGATACTACTCTTTGACATTAAAGTGTGGCAACAACAGTGCTAAGAACTGAAATGCATATGCCTCATCTGCTTTTTTTTATATACAATCCTCCGTTAGATCTAACCACCATTTCTGACGTCAGTGTTCTTCAGAAATAATGGTCTGACCTATTAGATTTATGGGCTATACCTTCTAACACTAACCCTGGTTTATGATGAGAGGTTGCTGCATTTTCTGCAGTCGTGAAGAACGTTGCATAAAAGATCTCCATTGTTTCAATGAGAGATCGCTCCTTCGTGTACGGACAGTTCGAACTTTAACTTGCAAGTGCCCACAACGGGCTCAGGACAACAAGAAACGCAACATATGCAACATCTTCCTTTTGGGTGTTGTCGGGCAACATCCTGAAAGTCCTACTCATTGATCAGCAAGTTTGTATACCTACAATAGAAGTGATCACTATAGTAAGCTTCACATGCAATGCAAAGCTACAGTATCTGATGTCAAGATCAGATATGATATTTAGTGGCCATATGGGCCGTTAATCTTTCAGCCATGTACAGTTCCATTTAAAGAAACAAACATGCAATTTATAGTGGAAGATAATAAAGCCAGCAAATGTGATACGAACCCTCCCCCCATTACAAAAATATTTGTGCAGCTTACAGTGTTCTAACATTTGTAAAGACTTGAAACTTGCTTTTTTCATACATTTTCCTTTCTAGGATTTAAGGGTATTTTATTTACATTGTGACACTGTTGTGGGTTTGGTATTGAAATGACGCATTCTATTCAGAATGATATAAATTGTTTTTGTTTAACGTAAGCAGTTGTGCATTTTCTGAAGCTGATTGTCATTTGAGGGATCAATTTACATGGCTCTATAGATTTAGCGGCGGGCTACAGAGGGCTACCTCAGGAGGCAGTGTAAAGCCAGATGGCCAAATAACTGTGGAGACAAACGCAACTATTGATCTTTGGATTTGTCATCTTAAATTTGAACATTGGGTTTATTGAATGTCTTTGAGTTGCAAACAACACCTGCTATTGGTTATTACTTTGTTTTTATAACTTTAAGTTGTAAATGGCTCATTAATCTTGCTTTATAAGATGCCCCATGGTACTAGATGCTGGTACGGTTTCACAAGAATAATGATGCAGCTCAAAAACACTGGAGTTCATAAATGGCAGTAAATAGTTCTACTTTTAACACACATCTAGCAAACAATGTAAAATAAAAGCCTGGGTCAAATTAGAGCTGATAAAAACTCAATCATACATATAATAATAGATTATTTATTGGCATACGAATATTTCTTGGGTACGGAGGGTTAGAGTGAAGGCAGGGTCATATGCAGTGTCACTGTTAAAATGTTAAAGTCCTTTGTAGTTTTAATAAATATGTGCGCATAAATATAAATGAGCAATACAATAAATTACCAAACCTCACACATTTCCTTGTATAGCCACAGTGTACATTTAACATTGCCAGTTATAATGAAGCATAGATACTAAACGTTATATTATTTAGAAGTTCAAATCAATGTTTGTATTTTGAAAGACTATTTAAATGATTAAATTCTATTTTTTACTCAATTTACTGTCGTTTGTTGACACTGCTTTATTTTTGTGTGTGATATTGGCTGTGAATATCTGTGTGTAGTTTTTTTTTCCTTTCATTTAGATAAACCAGTTTGATGTCCTTGTCTAAACATGTCCACATACAAATCACTGTGAAAAAAGTGAGATCTTCCACTGTCTGACGCAACGGGGAGTGGATTATTGTAGGTGCTTTGTGTTGTGTAATAAATGGACACACCACCACCACACATCATCGGTCTCATCTCTCCCTGTGTGTATTTATGTATGGGTGTTTGTGTGTGTATTGGATGGGGGATAGTGTGATGACTGTTAAAACTGTCAACTTCATAATTAAAACATTTTTGACCATGCAGTGCACATATCACATTTGGACAATCTTAATTGATGTTGAGGAGCATACTTCACATAAAGCTCCAGCATGCTGCCATTATAAACAATTTTTTCCATGTGTTTGTGTATTCATTTTAAAGCAACTTCTTGCAAGGCATTTGAAGTTTTAACCTACATTATCCTGTCAAGTGTGTCTGTGTAGGACTGCTGACTTGTGTGCTGTGTTCAAGCTAAGGTAAATAAATAGGACTTTGAAAAGAAGAAAATATATATATAAAATGTCATTTAAATCACTGGATAGATAGATTATTTGTTTATTTAAACTGACATGTGGTGCAATTAACTAATTTACCACACATAAGAATACCTTTGAAATACTTGTACTTCACTCAAATATTTGCTTTTATAATACTTTATATACTTGTACTCCACTAATATTCAATAGGAAATAGTGTAAGTTTTATTCCACTACATTTTATGTGACACTTGATTATTTTCTAAACATAAACGCTCAAATATGATTCAGTAGGCCTACTACACTGCTTATTCATCTATAGTTGTAGTATTTAAAACTGGCTCCACATTGGACAACATGAAATCGCTTTTTAATGTGTGTTAGTGATAAAAACGGAATAATATAGCATTATTTGTCTTTGATAGTTTCTGCATGGATACTTTCAGTGCATTTTCCTGACAATACTACTGGACTCTAGACTTTTACTTAGACCTTGATATTTACACCATGGCATTTTCTATTTAAACTTGTGTTTCTAGTACTTCTTCAACACTACTGCACATGTATTAGTCATTTACATTATACATGGCTTTAGCTAGCAGATGGCCCATGTAAATACAGGTTTAACAGGCCCAAATCTGGAAGCTAGGTTAAATCCCAACAGCCAAAGTCAATGTGGGACACTGCTGTAGGTTAACGGTGTGGTAAGGTTGAGTGACAGGTAGCTTGAGGTGTGTCTGTCGGACAGAAGGAACGCAGCACAGGAACACCATACAGGAAACTACTAAAGGCTAGCTGGTTAAATAGCGAGCCGTAATGCTTTCCATCACGCGCACTATCACCAAGAGCACCCGTGTCCTCCAGTGCGTCAAGCTGTTACACACTTCTCCGGTTGTCAAAATGCCGATTCAGGTAAGTCCTGCATGGGGTTAGCTGTGTGTGCTTCATGGCTAGTGCAAGGACGTGAGGGTGTCGTTGACATGTACTGTAGAATGAACTAAACTACACGACAATGCTTCGTCCTTCTCTGTGTAGCTCGCTGTGCTAACGGTCCCTCCGGAAGTCCGTCGCCATGACAGTCACTAGCTAGGATTTAGGCAATTTGTTTGACTTTCACGACTGTCCCCATCCTCTCGGTACTTCGCCAGTTGCTTTCTCGACACCTGCTGGTTATTTGAATGAAGCATAATGCAAACTGTCAATTATTAACGTAACACTAGCTGTCGGGCTGGCCCATGCCTTTTATACAGAGACGAGCGGAAACTGATATCACTTTTTTAAGACCAGTGAAGTTAAAATTAAACTTGCGTTGCCCCGTTTTTCCTCCACAAAAGTATGTGTTAAAATATTCCAAATTAAAAGTTCCCTTACAACTGGATTATCCGAGTGTGCCTGAACTTCACAGCTGCTCATACTGTATATATATTGTTTTATTAAAATATGTTTAAGGCCATAACTGAAGTTTAATATCTTGTTGGAAATGAGTTTTATGTGTAAATGATTAATCCGTCACTGTTAATGTCTTCAATAGTTAAGGCATTCGCCATTCGGCCATTTTAATGCGACACATGCGTCTTTATGTGGTCATGTGTCGCCCTCTAGCGGCAAAAGCCAATATTTGCGTCAATTACAACCTAAATGTCTATATTGCTATTCATCATGTTCTAAATCCCCCTCTAATCTTAATTAGTAGCTTTATTGCTTTATAGTACTGTTTAATGATTTACATTACAGAGTTATCAGCATTCAAGAAGTCCAAAGCATTAAAAATAGCTATGCTATGCTTCATTTAAGTGTCTTTGCGTCACTACAGTCACTACATGACAATTTGCTGGTCATTAGCTGGTAGGTAATAGTGTTGATGGTCATTTGAGAATGTGGGTCTACCTTCTTTCATGTTTTTCTTCTCAATCCCCATCAGGTTGGTGAATCTCTCCCTGCAGTGGAGGTCCAGGAGGGGGAGCCAGGGAATAAGGTTTCTATGGATCAGCTCTTCAAGGGGAAGAAAGGAGTCCTCTTTGCTGTACCTGGAGCTTTTACCCCTGGTTGTTCCAAGGTGGAGTCCACACTTTCATCCCTGTTAACTGTTTGTTGTGCACAATTCCCTTTCGCATCAGGCAGCTGACGTTGTCTTTGTTTTATGCTTTCAGACTCACCTTCCAGGTTTTGTGGAGCAGGCTGCGGACCTGAAGAGTAAAGGTATGCAGGAGGTCGCTTGCATCTCTGTCAATGACGCATTCGTCATGGCTGCCTGGGGAAAGGAGCACGGAGCAGATGGCAAGGTATGGAGGACAATGTTTTTGCAATCAGCTTTTTTTGTATGACCTCAAGACCTAAATAAGGAGTGTGGACTGCTACTTGGAGAGGTCCCAGTTCACCTCCTGGGCCCTGCCGTGGACAACCCCCGACCCCCCAACTCCCATTGCTCCCTGGGTGCTGTACAATAGCTGCCCACTGCTCCTAGTCCTATGGCTTCACAATATATATTTTATATATGTTTTATGTTCTTTGCCAGGTCAACATTGCAAAAAAAAGGCATTATTTAACTCTGGGATTTTGAAGTTAGTTAAAGCAAAGTTATGGGTTACATATTTTGTGATATTGAACTACGTTAGCTCACTTTTTCCACATTCTGAACAGCCTTTTTTCCTAGTAGCCTTCCTTAAGAAAAGAAAGGTTGATGGCACAGCAGATTTCATAATTCATTAGATGTACCGTTTGATATTAAGAATGCTGAGCTCACTGATACTCCTCTCTGCAGATTCGAATGCTGGCTGATCCTACCGGAGCTTTTACAAAGGTAAGATTATATTTCTGGTATTATTCTGTTCTATTAAATGTGACCCTTACTCATCTCTCTTTTTCTTTCTGCCCCGTAGGCGGTTGATCTGCTGCTTGACAGTGATCAGATTGTTCAGGCACTTGGGAACAAGCGATCCAAGAGGTAATGATCATTTTGCTCATATCAGATTTGCAATGACAGATTGACTGCATTTGTTTTGAATCTATTTTTGTTTGATCAATTACAATGTAAACTCAGGCTGTGTTGTAAATCACTCCCTATACTTACATCTTTTTTTACTACAAACATTTCTGAAAATGTAACAAACAAAGTAATGTTTGTGTTATTTACACGATTTGGTAATAATCCCACTATGCAAAGAATTGCATTTTATAGGTGATAAAAAGCAGTTATATTATATTATTATATACATAAGTATAGTATATTACAATTATACATAAGTGTGCTCTTTAAATCTCAATATACTGCTCTCTATAGAGTTAACTGTCAAATGATTATATAGGGAGTGAACAAGGGTGTGATTTTGAGCATAGCAACATACAATGAACCTTATGATCACAACATCTGTTCAGGGACTGCATATGAAAATAGCCTCTTGTAACTCTGGTACATTTGCAAAAATGTCCAATAATGTGCACTGTTCCTGTTAAATAAATATAAAACCCTTTTTTGTTTTGCAATATCATTTAACATATCCAACTGGACTCTCTCATGGTGCAGAGATGAAGTGTGTATTTGATCCTGTGTTTCAGATATGCTATGGTGGTGGAAGATGGAGTTGTGAAGAAGATCAATGTGGAGCCTGACGGCACTGGGCTGACCTGCAGCTTGGCTTCTAATGTTCTGTCTGAACTGTAGGCATATTTAGAGAGTATTAAACCAAACTGCAAACACTCAGTTACTGTTAAAGTTGCACTAACCAAACCAAGTTCTACCCTGCTCACGCCTCTTCCTTTCCCCCAAAATTGGATGCAAAAGTAACTTGGATGCTAATGTGAAGAGCTGGAAGGCATTTAACGCGCACAACTATGAAATTATTAATCAATCCAAAGGAACTAGTGTTATCCTCTGTCTCCTGATAACCTGTAAGAAAATAAAAGTCAACCGTAAAGCAATATTCACTGTTTTCTGTATTGTTCATAGTTTTAGTTATTGTATGTTTTAATATTTTTTTTATACACAGCCGTCAGCAAATAATGATGACCAATGCAAAAACACAGCATGCCCTAATGTGTCTTAATGACATTCTGAATCAAAGTAAACATGCTTAAGATGTAAAAAACAAGACACCATGCTAAATCTAACATTCAAAAGTACATCTTTCTTAATCATACAGGTAAAGTGTTGTAGATAGTACAACATTCACTCAGACATGTTTATCCTGTTAGTCAACAATCAGGGGGAAAAAACGCCGATGTACAGTGACTTAAGGACGCAAGAAGCAGGCGCATTGCATTGTGGTCGCCGGTGCCTGCCCTGCACAAACAGAAAGCATCAGCTCTCCACCGAACTACACTCATATCAGCCTGGACAGGACACTAAGATGTAAGTCGAAACTCATCCATAATGAAGTTTTCATTAGCTGAAATATTCTGTGTACAAAAAACGTAGTGTCAGAAGATAACGAGCATTACTTTAATGTGCCGAGTTATTGGCTAGCTACCTCTGAAGCTACTATAGCATTAAGTTATCATGCTGAGAAACTCCGTAGCTTCACTGCGCTAACTTCGTATATGGCGAGGGTCTCTTCAGGGCCACGTACTGTTTTAAGACCACCTTGAATTAGGCAGTGGCCACTGGCACTCGTAGTGCAATAAACGAAAACACAGTTTATCTACTGAGCATTAGCTCGTTGTGCTAAAACTGTTAGCACTAAGATGTGTTACCCGCGCAATTCAACGGTGGAAGGGTACCGTATTGTAGCTAGCCAGTCGCTGTATCAAAGCGTAAACAGCTTTATATACACAGTATGGTAAACCCCTGCATGAATATCCATTGCAGTGTGTGGAATTGTTTAAATATAAGCAGGCTAAAAGTATGATAAATAGGACATGCAGCAGGGAGTGGATGAATCAGTCATAACAAGAGGGCCTTTTGATACCAATAACATTGGTATCAATGGTTGGTGTTAATCATATGCTGTTTACAACTTACATTTTAAATCTGACAACTCTGAATTGATTGAAGGGGGGATATACATTTGTTTTGTATTGAACCCAAGCTTAGAATCACTACACATTGTAATGTAGCATGTATCACACTGATCTTAACATGATACTCCGAAATCGAAACCTAACACACTGTTTTAGTTTCAACACGCCCTATTCACTTACTTGTGTGAATGGATTCAAACCAGGAATGCTTATTGGGTGTGCACAATGACTTATAGCCCATTCTCCTGTTAGTTTAGGAACGCTGCCCAGTATGGACAAGACAGAAAATAATAAGCTAGTGTTACAACAGACCTCGCAGACTCACTGGGAAACATATCAAAGGCCTTGGAGACTTATTTGAAACTAAAAATAAACACAGTAACTGGTTACAAAGCTTCACAGTTGGTGTTGACCACAAACTACCTAAACCAAAACGCAGTCAGAAGTCTAACCCTACAGTCAATTCCTCATCTGCTGCATGACTTGTACTGCCTTTTTAATTTATATTATCTTGTTTGTGTTACAGTTCAGTAGTTGGTGATCTTTGACCGTCTACGAAACAGCCATGTCGTCGACATCCCAGAAACATAAAGACTTTGTGGCCGAGCCCATGGGCGAGAAGCCTGTGAACGCTCTGGCAGGCATTGGAGAGGTCCTTGGCAAAAGACTGGAGGACAAGGGTTTTGACAAGGTAATTGGGATTTTATTTGTATTAATAAATGTGTGGTAGTTATCACAAATATACGATGCACTATAAAGGGTGCTAACATCGCTGTGATTGTGGTATTCTCAATGTTATGGTATTTGTGTCTTGAAATCAATGAAAGAAAAAACATTAGTAATGCACAGGCTTATAAAATGTTGTCATTTTAAGTTTAGTAACTCATTTCATATCAGTTTTCGTAACTGCCCTTCCCTATCAAAGTATCATGAATATTCTAGTTTTTGTAATGTGAACATTTAAGAAACAGGGTTAGTGTTAAAGCAGTTGCTGGATTGTCAAATAATAATAATTATACACTTTATTTATATGGCACCTTTTTGATTGAATCAATGTTGTGTTTATAAACGGAAAGGCCATGTGCAATTTAGTGCCTTTGCTTCCAGGAAGACAGAGGGTGTTTCTCAATGTCGAGTAAAGCTGCTCCAGAGCCACTATTTCAAGCATACTACGTCATCGAGTGCCGCCGAAGTACTGTTCCAATCTCCAGCATACTTGGAAATCTACCGAGCCCGGCGTACTCCGTTTGGAGAAATATCGAGGCTGCACGTAGCGTACTCGCGATTGAGAAACACCCAAAGACAGCACGGCACACACTGGGTGTTTCTCAATGTCGAGTACGCTTGCTTGGTAGCACATGTCTTCCGAGCATCTTGCTTCAGAAGCGAGGCAAGAATACCTCCTGGCATTCGGAAAACGAAGAGTGGAACAGGCTAGCAAGTGTGCAGGTGTGCATCATATTAGAGGCCCCGCCTTACATTTTCCGCCACAGATTTGGGGAAATTGGTCCGTGCGCAAAGCATTGTGGGGATTTTAAGACCGCGGTGTCTACACATGTGCAGCCTCGAAATGTCTCGCTACGAAGTACGCCGGGCTCGGTAGAATTCCAAGTATGCTGGAGATTGGAACAGTCCTTCGGCGGCATTCGATGATGTAGTATGCTTGAAATAGTGGCTCTGGAGCAGCCTTCCTCGACATTGAGAAACACCCACTGTCTTTGTCTTCTTAAAAGTCAATGATTATTTGGGGTGAGTGTGAAAGGCTGTGACAGGGTTAGTCTCAGGGAAAACTAAAGAGCTGCAATCTTGGATCATCACTCAAAATAACAAGGCAACGTGTAAACATCACAGGGATTAATGTCTGGCTGGCGAGGCACCATCAATAAGGAGTGGTTTCAATACAGTGTTTGGGTTAAAATCACACCACGTTTTTAAACTGGCCTTTCCACCTATCCTCTTCATGCTTCATTGAACACTGGCTTCTTAACAACAGAGATGTGAATGTGGGAAACCCTTGCATTCCTGTCTTTATTATGTTTTGGGGTGTGTCTGTCTTTCCCTCCACAGGCGTACGTGGTCCTCGGACAGTTTCTGGTGCTGAAGAAAGACGAGGAGCTTTTCCGGGACTGGCTGAAAGACACTTGCTCTGCAAATATCAAACAACAAGGTGACTGCTTTGGGTGCCTCAAAGAATGGTGCGACGCCTTCTTATAAAGTGTTCAGTCATCGTTTTCTACTTCTGAATTACAAACTGTACATTACCTCTTCAGTGCTATCCATTATATTCAGCTATACCACAAATAGGAACTGACACTGTGCACCCTAATGAAGTCATTGAAGTCATTTTTATATTTAAATTACACTCAAAGCTGCAAGTATATTTCTTGACCCCAAACAGAATTCACAAATGCCATTTTCATGGTCTTTCACAAGTAGGATTCATCTTTCTTTAAAATGATATTCATACCGTAACATTTTATCTGGCCATGATGTCGGTAGGCCTTTTTATGGTGAACATTTGAACATGTCCTAGTAGTAAGTAGGGCTGTAGCTGTAGCAGTTTTGGATAAACACGGTCAGTCAATATTATGACCAATCCAATCCAATGATAGAGTAAATCAACCCCTGTTTGTCCGTTAACAGTGAAGCTGCTCAAGTATTGATATGCTCTACTGGAACACCATTTACAGCTTCAGTAGAATCTCGTGTGACAAAACTGATGTAATCTATTGGTTATATGTGTCTTAACTAACCTGTTAAACAATAGTAGATCACACGGTGTTAGTTTGCAGTGAGCTCCACATTATCTCTGACTTTTTCTGACATGATGCCTTAATGCATGCTATTCCAAACATGTTATTAACCTGTAAAACCTGCAGTAGTGCATGTCTGGGTTGTGCCATTGAATCTTCCACACCCCACCAGCTGTTTGAAGGTGTACCTGTTGTGTAGCAGCTTTTTGTGAAACACTCGCTAATTTGTTGTCATTCAACTGTGTAAACTCTTCAGTTTTTATATTCCAAATTGTATTGGTAAAAACAAAAAGCCAGTACCAGATTTGGAAACACATGTTTTTCTCTTACATGTTCATTAAAGATTCAATTTCTATCAAATAAAATCACAAGTGCGAAAACATCTTTGATACCAGGAGGTTTTATTTCAATTCTTCATGTTCCATGGTTTCTCTTTTTGCAAAGCACCACATTTGTTATTTGCAAGATTTCGAAAATATGTTTTATCGTGAGATGAGGGGAACTCCAAATTACAGCAATTTTCTTTTTCTTGCAGACATTTAACATAAATATGTCATTGCCTGTATTGTAGATGGAGAAATAACCACAGAGAAAGCGACACATTTTAATTAATAAAAGGAATTCCCAAGTCATTCACATTCGTCCTTGCTTCACATGAATGAGGAGACGTTGGGCTGAAGGGCCCATCACACCTGATTGGTTCAAATGTACACTTTCTTTAAAAGTAAATTTGACGACTGCATTTATTTTGTTTACCTTGCAGAAATATAAAACTGTTCCTGTGACAGACTCAATCAAATAGCTGATTTTGATTTAATGGCTTAGATTATATATTAAATGTTCATAACCCTAGGAATGTTTTTTTTCTTTCGGGTCTATGTGCTATTGAACTATAACATATTTTTTCCGACAGTGATCAGACTCAGGGTTGTGGCTTAAGTTTCACAGTAGCACCTTTGCATACACATACACGTTTCCACACACACGACGGCAACAGTATAGAAATGAGCAAAATGCTAACATCTTAATAAACCTTGAATGAAATGGCTCCACTCATAAACACAGCCTGGACTTGGTAGATACAAGTAACTGCCAAAACAGAGGAATGTATTTGAGGAATACAAAACATATTGGAAAAGAGAACGGAGTGCTGCAGGGTTGAAGCATTTTGTAGTCCTACAAATAAGCATTTAGCTAATGTTCCTTTTAGTTTTTCGATTATTGTGGAAAATTAGTCCTGGCCAACAAACGTTTATCATACCACCTGTCTGTCTTGTTAGTAAGATGCTATTCAGAAATTATCATCACTGATTTTAGAAGCGTAAGCTTTTTTTTTTTTTTTTTTTTTTTAAACATGTAAAAGCCTCAATTCACAAGCAGGATGACAAAACTGTAAAGTCTCTTACTGACACACAACTCATTTCAGGCATCTAACTGAAAACCCATTGACTTCAAAACGGATCCTGAAGTACAACTCATTTCTGGGGTTTTAGGATTCATTCCGCTGGATTATTTTCCTCCATTGAATGAATGTGTAGCTCTAAAAGGCTAAGCTAGCTGTTGATGGAGACAGAACACTGAAAGAGCGTTAATCTGAAGAAGAGTGGTATTACCTCCATCTACAAGTAGCAACCAGATAGGACATTTCATAAACTTACCTAACATAGGCTTTTTTTCAATCACAAATGTATGAACATTATAATGGGCTGAAGTGACAGCCTTGAAATGTCAGAGCAGCATCTGATCGAGCAAAATCCAAAGCGTGGGACTTTGCCTCCCAGTTAAATCTGCAGGATCCATATGATTATCCTTTTTTGGCAGTTACCTATAATATAAATAAGCATGACGTGTTATTAAACTAATAATAGCTGTTTCCTACGTTTATTTACTTTTGATTATGATAACTCTGACTATCGATTGAATGTTTGGGTTTTGTTATATTTGTTTTTCCCCTCTTACATTGAGACTTTAGCAGTGAAATAATTTAGTTGAGTTGATTGTGTACTGTACATCGGCAGCTTTTATGCAAGGTTCCTATAGTACATTGATGTCTCATTCAGATCAGAAGTACATGTACACACTGTACATACAGTACAGTTGTACTTTTAATCACAGCAATCCCTGATTGGTCTCAAAGCAGAGCGCAGAAGAACTTCTTCTCCCTGTAGGGGTTCTCTGAGATGGGCACGGGGCTGATCAGGGGGTCGTCACAGGAGTGAGCGTCGCAGTACGCCATCAGGTCCGCCGCGGCCTTCGATACCTGAGAGGAGGGTCAGAATCAGGGACAACTCAACATCACGTTTCAATCAAAGGTTGTTTTCTCTGGATTTTTGCAAGACATTCAAGATCTCCACTGGAGGACTTTTGCAATATTCTGTACATATTGGAAATAAAGAAATACAATTTCCATTTTTTTTACCAAAAAATGTGAATACTTTGTCACAAATAAAAGTCCTGAATTCTAAACTTTACTGTAAAAATGTGTCAGTAATGTCAGCTAAATTACATTTAATTTAGCTGACGCTTTTATCCAAAGCGACTTACAATTACCAATTACAGGGACATTCTCCCTGGAGTAACTAAGGGCTAAGTGCCTTACTCAAGGGCACACTAGTGGTGGTGTTCCAGGCGGGATTTGAACTCACAACCTTCCGATCTTCAGCCCACCTCACGATCCATTAGACCACAAAAATGATTCATTCACTTCAGCAGTTTTTCTTTTCTTGGTAAATTAGTATACTATTATAAATAATACCAACAGTATAATATTGATTCATTTTAGGAAGACTAGATGTCTGCAGTTACAATGGTCTCACAGTACAGCCATAACATAGGGGTAATAGATCATTAGGACCAAAACAGAGAATGAAACAATACAGAATCAATAACAGAAGAGTCTGAGCGGAAAGTGTGGGAATAGAAATATGGATTTACTTTGATTTTACCCAGTTTAATACTTCAAGTATCGCTATAAAGAGTTCTATATCTAAATGTTTTAAAGGTTGATGTTGAATTTCTAAATGTGTTTTGGTTCTTGAAGTCTTTGAGTAAAGAGAAGTACGCCTTTTAAAGCATTAAAACTAACCCTTTTTCTGGTCAAAGTAATGTTTTCTACTGGAAACTCCTCCATGGAAAGCATGGACTTGGAGCATGGAGAGTGCATTGATAGTCACCTGTGATTCTCTTTCAACTGCAAAACAGATGTAAATGTCAAGATCATTTAGTGCTTTCAACTTAGATGCTTTATAAGTCAATGGGCAAATCAAACGTGGTCTTTGTTTAATCTGAGGGCGGTTTTAGTTTGTGCAGCAGTCTTAATCATTCAATACAAATAATGTAGTATTATTATGACTTTGTGTGGGCATGTACTTTACATGAGCAAGTAACAGGTTTGATTTCAGTGTTGGGCATGAAATTATTTGAACTTGTATAAACAAATATTTGTTTAGCTTCTCAAAAAGCCAATTGGAAATGTGTTTAGTCGACTGTTTGGATTTAACTCATAAATTGGTTCAATTTTTTCCCTTTTTATTTTGGGGTTTAGTGTATGATTTATGTCTGAATGTGAGGCGTCCAGCTTGTCTTACCTTTATCCTGCAGAAACTAGCCTCTATTTTCAGTTGCTCCACCAGCTTCCTGGCCTGACCGACACTCATCATGGTACTGTTCACTGGGGTGTCTCCTTTCATCCTGTCCATGCACCAACACAACAACATTTAAGCTCCAGGGATAACAATGGCATAGAAATACAAATACATTCTGTAAATCTTTTCTTTCTTTTTTACATTTTCCATTGAATTGGTTGCCTTATATTTCTCCAGAAAATGATTATTCCAAAAATCTTAAAAATGTAAATCAATACTTTGACTAAGTGTGCCATCTTTCTAAAAATAAAATAAAATGTATTCCTAATATGTAAAGTTAAGATGGAGGTGTGTATTTCCTGCTCATACACATTGGGTTACTGATTGCAAAGTTAGCTTTTTTATACACATCTAGGTGGCTGATCAAAATCACTGTCTGACCTTAAAGTTCCTGAAAAAATGAATATATTTCTTATTTACATATGTTGAAACTTTGGTTGCTCAGCCATGAAACCAGTCAGTTTCCAATATGAATAAGTATGAATATCAGCCAACATTGTATTATAGAATTGACACCCCTCCTCCAATATATAATTGTAAATAGGAACAAAAGCATGGCTCTATGTATTCAATCAAATGAAAAAATAATCATTACTGGGCCAAATGGTCAGATGTATACACCATGGCCCACACCACAAGCAAGAATACCCACAGAAAAATCAAATGTAGAATGGAATAATCACATAAATATATTCATGAAATGTTAAATAAATATACATATGATTTAAACAAAAAGGTGTCATATGGAAAAGGAATCAAGAAAGATGTATTGTCAACAAGGGGGAAGCAGAAGCAGCAAAGGAGCGAATCTATTTGAACAATTCTGGACCTTTCTCCATTGTCTCTTCCCCTTTATCTCCACCCACCCCCTTTTCTCCTTACCCGTTTTATAGTCCTCTTTAGGTGCAATCTTCCCCCCTCTGCGCTCTATTTTTCCTCTCCTTTTCTGCTTCTCTGTTAGCTTTCGTTTGGTGGTATCAGTGTAGCCGGACCCCACCCCTCACAGACAGCAGCCTGGATGCTACCCTGCTCTGTACAGTCCAGTGCACTGTAATTCTGCCACAATGAGCACGAGATCTATGGTGGATGGATAGCATCACCCCCTCGGCAGGAAGTGGTACCTGCCAGACGGAGGGAGGGGGGAAGCCATTGGTGATGGTTTTCTTATGAAGGCAGATTGTACCATGTCTGTGCTGTAGGATATTGGGGGAAATGTTAAGGTTTTAATCTTTGATAGGGAAGCGGATGGTTATAATGTATTGTGGGTGCATTTGGATTTTAGTGCTTAAAGATTATAAACAGCCTTGGATGTGAACTCCAGAGGCATGAATCATGACGTGACCCTTTGCCTTTTGTGATGCCCACCCTCTCCTCTGTTGCTATGGGGACTGCAGCAGTCTGATTTATTAGTGGTTTACACAGTTTGACAGTTTAAAATGGAAAATATCTGTTATTATTTAAATGGGAATCTTATTTATGTGCTACAGATAAAAAGAAGGTCTGCATTGTACACATTAGAGTGATTAAAATAAACAGGAAATGTAGCAGAGTGGATGTATTGTCACCTCTTATGATGCTCTAAGATCAAAGACTCTGTGGAGGAAAGATTAGCCCAATGCCACAAAAGAGCTCTTTCCCAAATCGTTACACTATTTTAATGAATAGCCACCCTTTTTATTAGTTTAAATGTTAAATAAAGATTGTTTTACAAACGTACATCGAAGTAAATGTAATACAATGTGGAAGATAGGCAACTGGCAACTGGCAACACGCAAAAATTACCCGACGCCATTTATGCTAGGCTAATGTCTCCACTGTGTCCCACAGTGGTCTCCAGCGGCGGTGACCTCTCTTTCGCTAGTAATATCTTTGGTAACTAGATGGCAGTTTCTCGTTCTTGTTTATTTGTCCATCGTGCTTGCCGTCGTATAGTCCTCTCAAACAGTGCTGTTTGAAATTAAATGTTTGAATGTGAAGCTGTGGCTTTGTACTTGGTGGTAAGTATTATTGAGAACATTCCTTACACACATTCCTTACATTTTCTATCTTTCTTGTATCCACCATCTTGGAATGAAATAACGAAAATAGTTGTTTTGTGAGTCCCATACACAAATGCAAACAAGGACATACATATTTCTTTCTTTCTTTCTTTCTTTCTTTCTTTCTTTCTTTCTTTCTTTCTTTCTTTCTTTCTTTCTTTCTTCAGCTGATTTCCACACAGTTTACCAGTTCTTATTGGTACTACTACTTACCAGTTATATTGTTTATTAAAGTTTGAGTGTAACCCCTGAGAATTTCACTAAAATATAACAATAGCCTACATGTAATTTATATATGCATATGAGATGTGCAAATGAACAGATTGTCTTTTAAAAAGTTGCAAGAAATTCATGACAATATAAAATGTTGATGATTTGGTATAAACATCAGAGAGCAAAGAGAACACTGCTTTCCATACTCGTAGTTTGAGTTAAACAAATGGCTTGTTATTGTGTTGAAATTATTGTCTTTTTTTCTTAATGGCTCTACCAGGTACTGCAGAGAAGCTTCATGATGGCAGAGTGGAGAGCAGTATACATATTTGGCTGTTGAAGCCACAAGCAGCTGCAGTTTTAGGGCTCCATCTGCTGGATGATGCTGGCAGGTTTGACCCATCACTGATCTGTGAAGTCCGCACAGTGAACACAACCCAGCTCCTGATGAACCACCCAGGAGAAATCTGAACCCCGCAGCTTCTTTTGAGGTATAAAGTGCCATTTAATGGTCCGAATTCTAATAATAACAAACAGTAGGCACTAGGCAATAATGACAGTACAACTTACAGAAAAAGGGTAGAATGTATTCAATGCTAAAACTCATGTACTCAAGTGAACCTCAATTGACATTTTGGAAAACTACCAAGTGGCAAAGGCAGTCTGACAGCTTTTATCCTATTAACTATGTCCAGATCAAATGACTTCCATTTAGCACTAAAGGATGCTTTGAAAAACTGACTTTTTACAGACCTGTTACTGGTTGGGGCAGAAAATCTAAGATTTTGGAGCAAGTTACAACCAAGTTGCACCTACAATATTTTGATCATTGTTCATAACTTCATGTCTCTAACTGTAAGAGAGAAACAGGTAGTTTTACTACAGAAAATTGTACTCTGATCAAAGGCAACACATCTACAGCCAATCCCGGTTTCAATTCAGAAGGGGCTTGTCAATTTAAACTATTTTTAATCATCCTTGAGAACCTTTTTTGGTCCTTGCACAAACTGGGAAAAACAGTGACAGCAGGTACAAATCAGTACATGACTGCAAGGGCTGTATCGACTGAATCGCTCCCCAGATGGTCCATGAAACACTCCTGTTTCATCTCTGCAGGTTTCCTCTGGTGTAAGTAGTGTGGGTGCAGGACACCGTTGCCATCCAGCAAATACATCATTTTGAAAAAAGGCTGCCATATGACCAAAATGTCACAGTTAAAAGTGTAAATGGTAAAGCCAAGGAGTTGTGAAGACTTATTTCTTATAAAGCTACTCCACAATGCTTAATGCATACATCCAGCAATGCTTATAGAAAATAACATCGTTTTAATTCAATTATTAGCTCCCTTTCATCTATTGTGCCACATGTATTCCAGTTAATTAACCGACTATACATTTCTTTGTTTTTGATTAATAATCCTTAATTACATTTAACCTAATTACTGTCGTGGCACACTGGAGCATTCAAGTCTGGAGACCTCAAAGCTGAGAATCAGCACTTCATTTCTCACTCACTTGATTCAAAAATGAAGCTTAAATCTGTTTAAATGTATACACAAGGGCAAATTTGACAGAGTGGAAGTTAGAATGAGGATTCAAGCTCCCTTGTTATCTATTACCGGTGTGAGGCTGTCAGATTATCATTACCTTCTCAAACAACAGCTGTTTTAAATTATATAATGTTGACATTTTTAATGTTATTCATGCCGAAAATAGTGCAGTTCTCTGCCTCAAGGGTGATGTAGAAATGATTGAACCAATGCTGCTATTCATTTATTTGGCCCATTGATTCCATGTTTGGACCCAATGGTAAAAACACAAGGTGGACATGTTTCACGATCAATGTTAACCGTGGTTTTGATATAGAAAAACAACGTGCATGATCAATCAATCAATCAATGTTTATTTATATAGCCCAATATCACAAATGTTACATTTGTCTCAGTGGACTTCACAGTTTGTACAGAATATCAGTATGACAATACGACACCCTCTGTCCTTAGACCCTCACATCGTACAAGGAAAATCTTCCAGAGAAACCCCACAGTTTAAAAGGGAAAAATGGGAGAAACCTCAGGGAGAGCAACAGAGGAGGGATCCCTCTCCCAGGACGGACAGACGTGCAATAGATGCCGTGTGTAAATCGAAGAGATAATACATTTACAGCGTAGGTAGACCAAATGTTTGGAAATGCATGTGTCTATAATAAGAAGATGAATCCACGAGGATGTCAACAATCCTGTGGGAGCCATCAGGGAAGTAGTATGATGAGAGTCAGGCAGGACCGCAGAGACAGGTTCAGCCACGACTCGAAATCCAGGACTCAGGATGCAGGACTCAGGATCCAGGACTCAGGATCCAGGACCACAGCAACAGGCACAGCCACGACTTAGGATGATGCATGATCTGTGTGATTCTGAGCGATAGTCATGCAATTAACTGCTGCTGCATCTTAATATTCCCACAGTGAAACATCCACTAGAATAACCAATCATGCAGCAGGGGCTGATGAGCTAGTGGAGCCATTGTGTAAAGTGCCTGCACTTTGATTATTCAGTGGTCTAGTGATTACATACACATTTTCTTTTTTTCAAGGTGTGATTGAAGGTTTAATAGCAGTTGGGATTTGGGTGCGTGCCACTGCCAACAAAACGTAACTATGGAAATGTGCAGTATGATCTCGACTTAGGAAATTGTGATGTTATGTAGATCGAAGTTTCTCATATGTTGACCCTTGCCTTGGGGCATGCATGTGCCAAAATATGATTTGTTTCATAATTAGATTGTTGCTGACAAATCCATGTTTATGTAAACCTGTTTCCTATATACTAGTCAATGGTTTTGACATACCTGTATATGCTTTGGAGGAAATGTCATCATATTTAAATTGGCAAAAGCTAGGCTGTTTGCTAGGCTGACTGCAAATCTGACGAAAGAGTCAGTGTGGTGTACAGCTGAGGGTATCAAATGCTGTAGGAGTCCTAGAACCTGGAAATCAGTTGGCATCTTATAAATGATCCTTTTCCTAGTCTAGTTTTGAACGTGTTTTTGGTTAGAAGCCTAAAATAAGGTCTGTGGTTTAAAAAATATTTTCTGTTTTTGTTTGTCAGTAAATACCCCACTCTAGAATTGGGCAACTTCGGGCAAAAGTGTTGCATGGGCTCCAATTTCATTTTGCAGAAGTTGGCAGATACATAAATTATGTTTACTTTATGTTTTACTTAAATTGTGAGATAAGGCCTTGCATTCATGTGTTGTGGGAATAATCTGAAAACGTGTTCCTTTGTGGGAAAATTCTCATTAAGTCGAAAAAATCTACTTGGAAAAATATAGTAACATGTTGTTTAAAAGCTCAGAGCAAGAAAGTGCAACACATCTTCTAGCGTCAATTTTGTTTCCACATTCCAATTTAACTTAAAACCCTATGAACATACCAGACTCGGATAAAGGAAGTCGCATGATGATAGTCTGAAGTCTGTGCCATTTCAGTTTAGCAAATGGTCTTAAATCAGCATTCATGTTCATGCGTTTGTCACCTCCCGCTTGGACTACTGCAATGGTGTCCTGTTTGGGGTTCCCAACAAAACCCTGGACAGGCTCCAGTATGTCCAAAACTGTGCTGCTAGGGTACTCACAAATACAAAGCCGTGGCAGCACATCACTCCCACCCTCATCCACCTCCACTGGTTGCCGGTCAAATCCTGCATATCATACAAAATCCTCCTCCTTACCTACAAGTCCCTCCATGCCCATGCCCCCCAGTACCTATCGGACATCCTCCACCCACATGCCCCACCCCGGAACCTGCGG